AACGGTTTGCCTGAGACTCGAGAACCCTTCTGAAACATGTTATCTTCGATTTTTCAAATCATTATTTATTTATTATAAATAAATATTATATTTTATAATTTTATTTAACGAAAGATATTTTTATTTATTTATGTTTTCTTTTAGTAAAGTAAAGGTAATTAGGAAACTTATTTAAAAATAATGAACGGGGTTTAATCTGTTTCTATATTTACTCAACAGTATATTACTGTAATTAGTGTATTTTTTTAAGTTATAACATTGTTATACCCTAAATTATAATAGGAAATAATTTATTATTATTTTTTTTTTTTAAATCCAAAAAAATTTAGGTTTTATTCTCTAAAAAAATAAAACGTTTGAGTAAGTAATGATTAAGTATTGTATATGTTAGGCAGGATTAAGCTAAACAAGCTAGGGCCTCACGTTATGAATATGTGTCTTAGGGCCTCACATTTTATACGTGTAATTATTTAATTCAGGGGTAGGGTCTGTTATATGTTTAGGACGAGTCTAAGTCCAGATCTGACTAATTCAAACTGAAATTGTATGACAGAAACATACAAACACATCTCCCAGATAATTGTTTGTATATCAAAACAGCTACACAAATTTCGAATTAGAGAAAAATTCGATATGCACGTTAGGCTACTTAACTCACTAGCACGTAAAGAAATTTAAAAAAAAATTTCCTGTTTCGACATACAAATCGTTCTATAACCATTTTAAAATGATGTTTTAAAAACATTAATTTAAAATTTAAAGTCTAAATTATCGAAAACTTTCGAGATTCCTGAAATATATTAAACCGTTTAAGTATTCAGCAACATGCTTATTTATTATTTTTAGATTACCGTTACAGGAATTAATAGTAAATTAACATTAAAGAATCAATCTATATGATTCTAGATTTTATAGATAGGCCTTCGAAAGCTTGGTATAGGGCCCGGGTAGAGCATATCCCTTATATCTTTTTCTGAACAGATGAAAATACATAGAATGTTACAGATCATGGAGAGAGAAATTAGAAAATTTCCCCAACCAAACGAATAATCTCCAATTCCCCACATTTAGAGCCTCAAATTTTTATACGCGATGCAGGGGTAGGCCCTGTTGTATGTTTAGAGTATGTTTAGCCATGTTTATAGGGTGAATTGGGGATTTTTACCTAACCAGAAGAGAAATATTCCCAATTTCTCTTCTACATGACCCTGTCTATAAATAAAGATAAATATAAGCTAGAGTACATATATACGAGTCTATATATACGTATAGGTTTGTATATGTATATATAGGCCTATATTTTTAAATTATAAAGTTATATCTAATATATTAAAAAATTTAATAGGCATTTTAAATGTTGCAGTACATCTGTTACAGACTAAATTCCTTAAATGAATTCTAAATTTATTATTCCAAATATATCTTAAATCATTATATATAATGAAAAGGTTATTACAAATCGATATCAGTTGGGATGTACTATATTGGTCGAACATTCCAAACACTCATTTGAAGTAGGATAACATGAAAAGAAAATACCTGAGGGTACATCCCGGATGTCGTGAAGAGGGTGTGACAGTGACTGATTAAACAAGCGACAGATCGTGGAGTGACCCGTTCTTTTGCACTTATCCTTTATTCACTAAGAAAGATATGATTATAAGATAAAATGTGTTGAATTTTTATTTAAAAAAAAAAACATCTTAATTTTACTTGTCAACATGTTTACTCGGGCCTCTTGATCTTTAATTAGATGCATGCACTATTTAACGTTTTATATCGAAAATTTTAATAATTAAATAAATGAGTTTTAAAACGCGAATGTCAATTGGTTTGACGTACATTAGTCAAATTGAGTCATTTGTCAATGGGAAAATGATCGTTTTTGGTAATATCGACACTTAATTCATTCCAATAATAGAATTCAAATGCTTTATTTTTATGCAAAATCAAAATTTCTATTCACTAAATGAGAGAAAGTGAGAGGAATGGAAGGAAGGAAGAGAGAGAGAGAAAAAAAAGGGTCGATCAAATCGATTTTTTTTTGCACTAATAATTATTATTTTTATGAAAAATGCCCTTAGGGTTGATTCAATTATTTCTACATTTTCTATAGAAGTGGTAGCTTTGAATTTTATTTCATTACATTTCTAATTTCAACAAGAATTTCCTTGGGGAGATTCTAATAGAAAACTAACGAGGATGTTCTAAATGAGAATAAAATTTTTTAACTCGAAAAAAATTAAAGTAATTATAATTAAAATACATTTAAAAAAAATAAATGATTAAAAAATATATAGGATATAAACATAATTTTCTTTAATTATTATTATTTTTACTTTTATTTATTTATTTTTTATGTCGTCAAATTTAATTCCAAACCGTTCTCTATTATTATGTAGTTAAAGGTAGACTTAACTTTCGTAATAATTACGTGTAAATAATTATTTAAAATATGTCTCGAGAAAACAATTCTGATGGATTGCATTCGAGAGTAAGTTAAATCCATTCAGAATTACATTTATGCAATTATGGCTGCAGGCTATAGTATGTTATGAATCTAGGTCAGACATACTAGTGTAGGATGTGATGGATTATAGACATTAATCGCCTGGAGATAGAGTGAAAACAACTTTTTAAATAAATTTTTATTATTTTAACATAGAAAAATTTATTTTCATTCCTAAAATTTTTAATATTTCCGCGTTATNTTAAAAATCATGCATATAACTGAATTATTATTATTATATAGGCCTATATATATTTTTTTTTTCTTGTACTTAGAAGGAAATTTAGTGTATTAATTTAACATTATATATGTAATTGAAAGTGCGGTATCGGATACCAGCTTCTAGATTACATATCTGAACGACTCTGGCTACCGTTACATTCACAGCCATGTATCAATCAGCAAACCCCGGGGCAAAGTGCGCAAAAAAAACCTGTAAGGGGTGTGGTTGAACAAGGTTTAACTGCGTGGGTGTTGACTCTAGGTACTTAGACCAATACAGGTCATTGTTTCATATTGCCCACAATTCTATATAAGATGAAACTATCAACAATAAACGTTCGAAATGCACAAAATTGATACAAATACTCCGTGTGATTGCCATTATCTTGTTGTTTAGAAACGTGCCAGACACATCTGGTCTTTTACACTACGTTAACATAATGGAATGTTATCGGAGTATTCTCGAAGGATAGATTTAGGATCTTCAAGTAGGTGATTATTATTTGACTTGTAGGAAGGAAAGAATCTTGTAATCTACTATTTCTTTGCTCTTCGATTTATTATTATTGTCAATGTATCAGAAAAATCTTAAAATTTATTCTTAAACAAGAAATACATTCGATTGATTCGCGTGATTTGTAACATTCAATAATGGAGATAGAATACCGCATACGTTACGTCGACAGTTAACATGTTATGAATGAGTAATTTAATTTAAAACTAATTATGATTTCAGGATTTTATCTGCATCTCTGGAAGGAAAAAAAATACACACTTATCCATTTCATTTGTAATCAGCGATATTATCAAATTAATTAATTCAACAGACTATTCAGTAATGGAGTTTATAATTAAAGAATAATAGATTTTGTAACATAATGAATGTTTTATATTTTAAAAAATAATTTAAAAAAAACAACTTAATTAATAATTATTGGTGTAGCCAGGAATTAATTGTGTACAGTAGTTAAATACAGTGTTTATACTTAAAAAAATACTCTAAAAACAACAAAAAAATTGTAATATATTTAAATTGAAATTAATAAAAACAGTTTAAAGTTTATTTTATTTTTTTTAAATTAGAGATGTAAATGAAGGAATAACTACATTTTGTAAATTTTACTTTGTTTTTATTAGCAATTTTTAAAGTTTAATACGTAAGTAATTTTTTTTCTCTCATTTATTTGCTTTTAAAAATTTATTTTCTACTTTTCTATTTGTTACATTTGTTTGCTTTGATGTTATATCTTATTTAGTTAGACCTATTTACTTCTCGCTTCATAACTCAGAATACCTTCTTAGGAAGAAAAAAAAAATACACACACAGACACACATACACACACACACATATATATATAAAATATATACGATTTTATTTCTTTGAAAAGAATTCGAATAAATTTACATAACAAGAAACTACTAAAAGATTTTCTTAAAAAAATAATAATAAAAAAATACTTTTAAAAGTTTTCCTTCTTTTTACAAGAGTATAAAAAATAATTTTAAAAACTTTACTGGTTGAATAGAACGAATTGAATGCTTAAAAATAAAATTTTTACGTTATTTATTTTACTATTAGACACATGAAAAATTAATTAGGCTCATTGTGTAATTTATTATCAAGCAAAACTTTCGATCGACGTGTATTTCGATAATGAATGAGATGAAACAACTACTTCAACTTTGGATTCTTCAACATTGTGGATCCGTGTAATCAGAGCAAATAATGTATAATTAATATCATTGACTCTACTCAATTATTCGATTAGTTCCATAAAGAATTAATGAAGCTTAGGATTTTGTTTTTTACGGAAAATTACTTTCTTCGGTTATCTTCACTTCCTATTTACAGAACCATATAATTTGAGCATCGTTTATTTAACTGTCTTACAGAGCATCCGGTAATACTTTACGTAAATTATCTCTACACGAAACTTCACATAATTAAATAAAATTAAGCATTAAGTAGAACGAATCAAAGCCTTTTCCTCCCCTCTTCCTTAATTTTAAAACAAACGAAAAAAAATTAACATTAAGTTTATCAATTTACAAATAGAAAAAATAAAAATGTCGTCGTTTTTAAAACGTAATTTTTAAAATTAAAAATTTTTTTTCATTTTATTTAAATTATTATAAAGAGGAACGTATTGAGTACACAACGCAGATGAGTGTTGACGTCAGAGAGACGTCATTAACGGTCAACATACTTTCGATGCCACTCCTGAGAAAGAAACTGTCAAACGGCCACGCAGCCTCCGCCTCAAAAGCTACGCATTTCTACTTCCGGTCATGCGTACTTCATTCCGGTTGCCGGTAGGGTAGCGTGCGCTTCTTAGTAAGAAAGCAGACCAATGTTTGTTAGCGGCGGTATGAACGTGCTTTCGTGTTGTACCTTAGAAAAAGGCGCATAAACAACCCCCCGAATCGAATCCATGTGGATTTTTAAAGTTGGATTATCGACTTTCGTACTTTTACATATTTTTCGGTAAGTTAAAAAAAATTTTTTTTTTTAAATTATATAACGAGCCTCCTAGTTGATAACTAGTGTTTATATAGAGGTCAATAGTTCTAACTCGTCTTAACAGGTGTTAGTAGGGTTGTCTGATCGTAAATTACGTTTCGGTTTCTAACTATCGGAACGGTTTTTCTCGCGGATATACTAAAAATACGTGGGTAGGAACCCACGCTCCTATACAAAACAAGTCTTTTTCTTAACTTTAAGAACAGTTAGTGAATAAATTATATTCTCGAACAAAGAAGTAATTTGTTCGTCTTAACTTTATCAAACTCTACGTATAATAAACTCATTTATATTGATTGATTTTTGTAGCGAGGAAACATTAATTTATAGGCATTTTCTTTCTTTTCTTGGGTTCGATTTGGGACGTTTAAATGAGTGAGGTCAGCCCTCGGGGGTACTTGAAAATATTTTGTTAGGACTAATTTTGAAACCAGTTTACTTAGATTGTAACTTGTCACATACAAATTTGTCAAGAGTAATAATTTAATAATTGTATTTTTTAAAAGAGCATCTTGGTCATGGGTTATTAAGCTCCATTCTATGCCCCATTGCCTACTTTAAAAAAAAATAAAAAAATATATAAATAAATTATTAAATATTTTAAAGGGTTATACCAAAAATTTAAAGGAAAATAATAATAATATATTTTTATAATTTAAACTTTTATCAGAAGACCAAGGGACGTTCCATTTCAATGGTGACATCAACTACAAGATATTCTGTAAAACTAGTCATATTTCAAGTTTTGGGAGCGTCCATTATTTCCTTAATTCACTCAAGCAAAGAAGAGAATTTTTAAGATAAAATAAGGAATATAAATTATTAGTTTTATTATGATGTAAAGTAGCGTAATAAAATAATAATAATAAAAAAAGTATATACGGTATATATATAATATTAGTTTGAAATATGGAATTATGAATGTCTACTTGAAATTTAGTACAGGAAAAAAATCTTTTTGTACTGCTTCCCTTAATAGCCTTGATTATATATTACTACATAATACATCTTTCTTTAAAACCTCTTCTGCATCGTTTGGCCTCAAGAGAGGCGTACCCTATTGGATGGGAAAATCTGGCCTACGTGAAAAGTATAAATACAAACAAGTTTCCGTTCCCTTTTACTCTCGACCTCGAAAAGAAAATGTGGGGAACATTGAAATAAGAAATTAGCTTTTTTTTAAATATGGTTGTCGACTCGAGGACTTAAGAAATTACAAAGCCTCAAGTGTGCATCGAGCGCTTTACATGTATATAATAAATTGTACTGAGCTTAAATATATTTTAAAAAATACACCAAAGTTATATTTAATGCGATTTAAAATTATCTTTCGCATCACAAGCGCTTGTAAAAGGATGTATTATAGATTATTTTTTATTTATTAATAATCAAAATTTAAAAAAAAATACTATAAATGTGAATAAAAACAATGTAATTTTACTTAAATATTTAACATTGTTTCTATAATTAACACTTTTTTTTAAAAAAAAAGTTAATTGCGTAAAAATTAACTTCTACTTTGATAATTAGAAAGTATATAAATAATTTAAATTTATTTATTTTTTTTATATTAGTTTTATAAATAGATTAAGTAAATAATAAAAAAAATTAAAGTGAAATTAAAATTTTAATTTACTAAAATATCTATTTTAAATATTACTTTCTTTTAATTTAGTTACTCCTAATTAGGCTGTGTTATATTCTTAGAAAGGGAATTTCTCATTATAACTGTTTTAACAATGTTATATTTAAGTTAAAATGATAAGAAATTTTTTATATAAGTATTAGATAATCATGTTTCGTAGCTAATTTACCGAATTATCCCAGAATAACAAGGAGAAAAATAAAAAAAGACATCCTAAATTCCAGCTTGACATTTGATGACTGGTGTGAGGAAGTTACTAAGCGTAACCACAAAAGCTCCATTTTATTCATTTGCTAGGCAAGTCACTGTTCGAAACTACTGATATAACCATATCACTACTATTACTAAACTATTGAAGTTACAGCTACATAGAATTCGTATAGGAAAAATTTTCATTTTGGATACTCAAACGGTTGTTGGAATGTTATTCAGTTGGGAATTGCATCCCTTTTTTCACTATTTTTTTTTTTTTGTGGAAGTGTTATGGCTGTTGGCATTGACGTATAGAAAGCTATCATTTACTCAAACTGCATGGATCGAAATTTAGGAACTGGAAAGACGTAATGTAATTTATTGGATAGTTTACTGGGTCAAGTTGCATTTATATAAAATCTAGTATAATTTTTTTCTGCTAGTTAGTTAAATCCCTTCATGGAAATTTGTTCTTGTATATACTCATTTACATGTTTTTTTTTAATAATTAGACAATACAAAAATTATCTATTTATATTAAGAGGAAGAATAGAACTTTTAGTCATAAACAAACTTTTAAGGGTTTCAAACAGATTTGAGTTTTTGGAAAATTGCATCTGCTTTATCGAAATTCAGAAAACGTATATGATACTTTGTATTGGTATAAGGATCGCTGGATTCGTTCGAATATAAATAACTTTTTGAGTATAAGAAATGCATTGATACCCACTGACCTATAAAAATAAGCTATATATAATATCAATTTTCTTGTAAGAAATCGTTATTTTCTGATTTTAGGTCCTAACTAGTTTGGAAAAATTGGCCTGATTCAAATTAAAATCAATTTTAAATTAAATTATTATTATTATTTTTTGTATATAATTTTAAAAAATTCAATTATTTGTCATCAAAAATTTCTGCAAAGAATGTTTTTAAACGTTCAGACTTTATCCCTATTGATAAGAGAAGGAAAATTTGTTTCTAGGACTGAAATCTTATCAAAAACAAGACTTGTATTTTATTTCTAGAAGAATTGTCTGTATGTTGTTGTTTTAATATTACCGTAGAAGGAAATTTTCTTCAATTAACAGACCGTTTCTTTACCGAACTACCCACGTCTAACCTTGAATCGACCCTACACAACCCCAAAGGTTACCCCAAAGTTTCGCGTGACAAGGTGGACCACGAGCCTCAGGCAAAAGACTTCAACATTACCTACCAGATGAGATGAAGTGTGAGAATGAAATAAAATTTGTATATTTTCATCTCAAGATTTATTTTTATTGAAATATAAATTATAGACTTCAAGAGAATTGAGTGCGCTGTAAAAATGATAACACGAGCACGTTACATGCATTTTGTCTACTTATAATCCAAAGATTTCTGCTTGACAACTCTTGAGTGATAGATGACAGACACGAAAATAAATTTTTTTTTTAATATTTCAGACACAATTCTATTGATTAAACGAGTTATAAATAAAAATATACAAGCGTAAATTGTACCATTACTTAATTAAATTCATCATTCAACTCAGGTTAATTATTTAAAAAAATGTATATACAAGAATTAATGATTTATGAATGCGAATAAAATTTAATTTTGTTTAGTTTAAATATTTTTATTATTTTTTTGTTTTTTAAAGAATTTTTTTTCGTAAATTTAAACTGCTTTAATTAAAAATTTAATGATACATTAGTAAGTTAATTAGGAATTGTATTCAATACGAAATTTTGATAATTGCACTTTTAAGTTTGTTTTTCTTGTTGAAAGCACATTTTTTTTTTCGAATTTATTTATCGTAAAGTAAATTTTACAGATGGAAATTATTGATAAAAATGTAGATTTATTTGTCGAGGAAAAGAAGTAATTAAGTTCATAGTAAAAAAAAAATAATAATAATTAAATAAATGAGTTTTAAAACGCGAATGTCAATTGGTTTGACGTACATTAGTCAAATTGAGTCATTTGTCAATGGGAAAATGATCGTTTTTGGTAATATCGACACTTAATTCATTCCAATAATAGAATTCAAATGCTTTATTTTTATGCAAAATCAAAATTTCTTTTCACTAAATGAGAGAAAGTGAGAGGAATGGAAGGAAGGAAGAGAGAGAGAGAAAAAAAAGGGTCGATCAAATCGATTTTTTTTTGCACTAATAATTATTATTTTTATGAAAAATGCCCTTAGGGTTGATTCAATTATTTCTACATTTTCTATAGAAGTGGTAGCTTTGAATTTTATTTCATTACATTTCTAATTTCAACAAGAATTTCCTTGGGGAGATTCTAATAGAAAACTAACGAGGATGTTCTAAATGAGAATAAAATTTTTTAACTCGAAAAAAATTAAAGTAATTATAATTAAAATACATTTAAAAAAAATAAATGATTAAAAAATATATAGGATATAAACATAATTTTCTTTAATTATTATTATTTTTACTTTTATTTATTTATTTTTTATGTCGTCAAATTTAATTCCAAACCGTTCTCTATTATTATGTAGTTAAAGGTAGACTTAACTTTCGTAATAATTACGTGTAAATAATTATTTAAAATATGTCTCGAGAAAACAATTCTGATGGATTGCATTCGAGAGTAAGTTAAATCCATTCAGAATTACATTTATGCAATTATGGCTGCAGGCTATAGTATGTTATGAATCTAGGTCAGACATACTAGTGTAGGATGTGATGGATTATAGACATTAATCGCCTGGAGATAGAGTGAAAACAACTTTTTAAATAAATTTTTATTATTTTAACATAGAAAAATTTATTTTCATTCCTAAAATTTTTAATATTTCCGCGTTATGATAAATTGATAAGATCATTTCAAAAGGATAGTTCCTATCGATTTATTCAAAATTTAGCCTTAAAATTGACTTTATAAATCTATAAATTTATTAAATTATTACATTATTAAAACAAAATTTATTAAATTAATTAATTTTATAATTTATAAGGCCTATAGTTGAAGTAAGAGCACTGATATAGGCGTCGTTACCTATAGATTTATATACGAGTAACACGCTTCTAAATAAAGTTATAGATAGATTATTATGTTATTATCGGTTTAATTCATTAAACATAAGTTCATAGTTGTTACGATATCGCTTTACTGT